GCTCCTTACCGAGGGCCTTGGGGTCAGGCTTTGCTGTGACAAACAGTGGCTTGCTCAAGCACTGACCAAACGGCCCTCCTGATGGGGTTAAAACAGGCGATCCATAGGAGTCTTCCCTGGGGCTTCCTCGGGGCTTCCTCCGACCTTTGTTCTGCTGATCATGGCTGTCTTTGGAGCTCCTCTTGTCCTGCTTTCAGGAGTCACTGGTGCCTTAAGACTCAGCTGGAGATGAGTCCGTTGGTGCCTACTTTCTTTTCACAAACTGGAATTCCCTGGTATTGTCCGTGGGCCATGTGACCTGAAAGTGTTGCTTCTTCACCCCTACACCGCCCTGTGTGTTCTAGAGAAGAGGCCAAGATCCAAGGTTCGTCCACACCTGCCAGTGGGTTTTCCTGTATGGGAGGGGGCTGCAGTTGGGGCAGCCAGGAGCTGTCCAGGACGGATGCCCGCCCCTGTGTTGGCAGTCTGTCTCCCAGCACCTCCGTAGATTCGGGTGTGACAACGCGGCCTCATCCCATAAATACAGGCCCGGAGCCGCTTTGGGAATAAGTGGATGTGTGCCCGCCCTGTAGGAGTCTCCGGTGGACGGGGTGTCAGTAAGTCAAGCTCTTTGCAAGTCTGTAATTATTAAGACCTAGATGTGAGTCACGTCCCAAGAGCCTCTCTCTTTCCAGGTAGTAGAGCCAGCGTCCATTTCATCCAATACAAAGAATCGGGAGAGGTCAGGTTTTAAGGTTTCTCGTCCTCTGGGGTGGGTCAGCCTGATGTCGGGGAACGGGGATGGGAAAGGGAAAAAGTTCTGGTGGATCTTGTCTGATATTCTCCACGCACGTCCCCATATAGGGGGAGAAGCTTCCTTTAGGGAAGAGTCCCCCTTATTTTATCTGTTGCTCAAACTCTGAAGGGTCAGACAGCAGGTTCTCCCAGCTTGAGATACATTTGCTTCGGAAAATCAAGCAGTACATTTAATTATTAGCACCTTGTCTGCTCAGATAAACATGAAAACGCATTGTCCCCTGGATCCCCCCTCCCTCAAAATGAATGAAAGGGACTGTTTAAAGGGGTGTGGGGAACAACACAAAACCCACAGTCCACATCTGCAAATCACAACCAGGTTTATTCCCAGGCGTGGCTGCTGGGGACGGTGGGGGACAGATCACATTATTTGCAAAATCTTTGAGGCTTCTGGTATTTTGTGTACTAAATGTAAGATTTTTTTTTCAATGTCAAGATATTTTACTATGTAGTAGAAACCATTCTAATATTGACTATAATGAAAAGATAAAGGTTACTGATGAAAAATACAGAAATATAAATGAAAATGTATGTTGAAGAAGTGGCTGGTTTTGGCCGGGTGCGGTGGCGCACACCTGTAATCCCAGCACTTTGGGAGGCTGAGGCAAGCGGATCACCTGAGGTCAGGAGTTCGAGATCAGCCTGGGCAACACGGTGAAACCCCGTTTCTACTAAAAATACAAAAATTAGCCGGGCGTGGTGGCACATGCCTGTAATCCCAGCTACCTGGGAGGCTGAGGCAGGAGAATCGCTTGAACCTGGGAGGCAGAGGATGCGGTGAGCCGAGATTGCGCCATTGCACTCCAGCCTGGGCAACAAGAGTAAATCTCGGTCTCACCAAAAAAAAATAAATAAATAAAGAGGAGTGGCTGGTTTTAAACCAACTCAGCAGCAAAATTCAGTGATTAGTAAGCGACATGAAACTTATTTTTCTTACTTTTTTTTTTTTTTTGGAGGCAGGGTCTCACTCTGTCGCCCAGGCTGGAGTGCAGTGGTGCAATCTTGGCTCACTGCAGCCTCCGCCTCCTGGGTTCAAGCAATTCTCCTGCCTCAACCTCCCAAGTAGCTGGGATTACAGGTGTGCACCACCATTCCTGGCTAATTTTTGTATTTTTAGTAGACACAGGGTTTCACCATGTTGGCCAGACTGGTCTCAAACTTCTAATCTCAGGTGATCAGCCCATCTCAGCCTCTAAAAGTGCTGGGATTACGGGCATGAGCCATCGCGCCCAGCCTTAGTTTTAATTTCTGAGTGGAATAAAAAGGCTAAACAAAGCAAAGCCTGCTCTGTGGAGTGAAGAGAGAGGGTTTCAGAAATGGCTGTGTCCTTTTTTTTTTTTTTTCAAATATCTCTGCAAACTGATGTTACCCTGTGTTTCCATCGCCTTTCCTGTAATTCCAAGATTTTGGAAGAACGCAATACAGATGGGTGCCATTTTCTTTTCATTTTGCAACCCTCCGTTCTGAACACTTTAATCCCAAACAGAAAACACACCCGTTTAGCATTCAGTTAGATCAGTGGACTTGATTTTTCTCAGCATGTCAAGATTTCAGTTTGGAAATCTGTTCCAAAGATGAAGGTCCACATTTGTGAGCCCTGGAGTTCCGTCTCCACGTTTGTGATCCCTGGAGTTCCGTATGACTCGCAAATGCGTAGTAGGTTAGGACTGAATCTGCAGATCTGGTGCCGATGGCCTCGCGCCTCCAGGACGTCCCCAAGGCGGGCTCTGGCGAGGCCTGCTCACAGCACTTCCTTGAGGCTCTTTCTCATCTGGGAGGGAGGCACAGCGATGAGACCTGCCCTAGGTGTGAGGCTCAGGCCAGGTGACAATGTGAAAGCCCTTACAATACTACGAGATGCTGAGAAACGGATTGGTGGGCACACGCCCGCGCCTGGGCATGGGAGATGGGCACGCTCACAATTCAGAGGTATTGGAGTTTTTCATCTTTCCAGATGCTTACTCTATTTAGAATAAACGAATGGAGTCCAACTTTCCATCAGCTCATTAGCGGCTGTACAGAAATAACGTTTTATTAGACACAACCCACTAAAGCACTCGGTGCCCAACTGAGATGCCGGAATCGAGCCCGTGAAGCCTGTGGGAGGGAGGCACCTGTTGCTGTTGGTTGATACTCCCAGCCTGGGCCCCTATAGCGCCTCCGCTAGAATTGGAGGTGTTATCCAAGTGAAGTGGTTTCATCAGGTGTGACTTTGCCTGCAGGTGTGACTTTGCCTGCAGGTGTGACTTTGCCTGCAGGTGTGACTTTGCCTGCAGGTTTTGCCTGCATGAAACGGTATTGCTGCAGCAGTGCAGGTGTTCAACAGTTCTAGGCTGGTGGGGAAAGAACCTCAGTCATTTGGACTGATGGCTTCATCTTACCCTGGGGTTGCTAACCTGCTTTTCAAAATCATCTGTGGAGGAAGGAATGCATTTTTTTTTTTTTTTTTTGAGACAGAATCTTGCTCTGTCGCCTAAGCTGGAGTGCAGTGGCGTGATCTCGGCTCACTGCAACCTCCGCCTCCCAGGTTCAAGCAATTATCCTGCCTCAGCCTCCCGAATAGCTGGAATTACAGGCACGCACCACAACACCCCTGGCTAATTTTTGTATTTTTAGTAGAAACGGGGTTTTACCATGTTGGTCAGGATGGTCTCGAACTCCTGACCTCAAGTGATCTGCCTGCCTCAGCCTCCCAAAGTGCTGGGATTACAGGCATGAACCACCCACCACGCTCGGCCAGGAATGCATTCTTTTCAGCATGTTGAGAAACCTGATTGATAAGGCATGTTATTATTATTTTTTTTATTTCAATAGACGCTAAACACAGAGGGATTACTGGTATTCTGGTATTTTTAAGGAATGACTGCAAAAACATTTTCAATTTGATGCCTGGAGTCTCTGCTGGTTTTATAGCTCAGAAGAAAGGTATTACATAGATCCTGGCTTCAGGGCCAATTTTGTATTTTTTTTTTTTTTTTTTTGAGACGGAGTCTCGCTCTGTCGCCCGGGCTGGAGTGCAGTGGCCGGATCTCGGCTCACTGCAAGCTCCGCCTCCCGGGTTGACGCCATTCTCCTGCCTCAGCCTCCCGAGTAGCTGGGACTACAGGCGCCTGCCACCTCGCCCAGCTAGTTTTTTGTATTTTTTTAGTAGAGAAGGGGTTTCACCGTGTTAGCCAGGATGGTCTCGATCTCCTGACCTCGTGATCCGCCCGTCTCAGCCTCCCAAAGTGCTGGGATTCCAGGCTTGAGCCACTGCGCCTGGCCTATTTTTTTTAATTAAATATATTAATTTTCTCCGGGAAGCATTTCCATCCCAAATTGGACATTAAGACTGTTGCCAAAATGTTTACTTTTGTGTATTAATAATAGTATATATGAAGAAATAACCCATCGTGATGTTTAACTTCTTCTCTGATTCTTGAGTAGAATCCCTGCAGATAAGAATCTATACACAAGGTATTATTGATGGTATATAAGAGAAGCTTATTTTTTCCAGTTTCAGCACTTTCTAAATTTCCTATAATGAACACATCTTGTTCTCATAGAGGGAAAAAAAATCCATGTCATAGACAGAATTTTTTTTTTTAATCGAAGATCCTGTAACTCATAGTAAACATGGATTTATGACTACAGAGATAAAAATCCACTTAATGTAGTTATTACCCCACCTTAGCAAAATACAAGTAATCCCCTGCCTGCTTTTTTTACTTTTTATTGAAATTTTAAAACAAACATAGAGAATGCCCATGTCTGCATCACCCCCTTCCACAATGAAGGGCATTCACCAGTCTTGTCTCTGCCCCTGCCCCTTGCTGGAGCATGAAGCACACAAACATGGTGGAGGAGGTTCACCTGCAATCCCTTGCTCCTCGAGTAATCTCAGACAGTAATGACCCTCCTGCCTGTTCAGCCTCGACTTGGCTGACGCGGCGTCTGCTCCTCCTCCTGGCCCTCGCTCACACCCCAGTGGGGCATCCCATGCCCTTGTGGGAACCCTGCAGTGTTGATGCAGAACTCAACCAGGGTGCTGGGTGCTTTAGGACGGGAGATCTGCTCCCTAACTCCCTAACTGGTCTTGTGGGTAACATGGCTCCCAAATAAAGACACGAGCGGAGTTAGCCGCCAGCACTCCTGATGCTCAGGTCAGGAGGCCCCGGGAGCCACAGCCCCACTGCACCATGACAAATGTCAGACGAGACGGAAGCTCAGGATGTGACAACGTTTTTAATGCAAAATCAACCATGAGCATCTTTTCCCATGTACTTATTAGACGTTAAATAGCAGGACTTCACAGCCCTGTTTGCACATTTTCCTACTCCGCAGACGGAATAATATTTTCAGGGAAGGCGGCACAGTGTGTGCCGTCGCTATCGGGCGACTGTGGGGGATGAGGGACAATGATTTTCCAGGAGGCCTCTGGGGTCAGAGGACTCCTAGAGGGGGTTTCCAGCCCCTCAATCGCAGATGGATGGCCTGTTGATGTTGTAACTGGGGTGGAAGTTGAGCCGGTCACAGGAGGTGATGTAGTTATCAGGGCCAGTCACGACGCTTTTCTCCAGGTAAACATTGAGAGTGTTGTTCCGGAACATGCCGCCCGCTGCAAGTTGTTGGGAAAATTTATTCGAATTTGGATAAAATACTTTCTAGAAGAGATGAAGGAACACAGATGAATGATGTATAATACTCTTGAGCAATCCGTTGAATATTTTTGAAAGAAAAATAAGAATTTGTAAGAAGATGCAGAGAAGCCAGAGGGGGTAGGATGGCCTGGCTCACCCCAGACCATCCTAACCCATGCCCGATGGCTGGCACTTGGTGTTAACACTGCCCCTTGCACTGTTCGAGGGATGGAAGGGTGGGCTGCGGGGCCACCTGTGTGCCATCTCTACCTTGGGATATGGCTGTGAGCATCGCCTTGGGGGTCAGGCCTGGAGTCACCCCCAGGTCTGCTTTTCCTCACTGTGCTACTCTGGGAAAGCTGCCAGCCCTCTCTGAACTTCATTTTCTCTTCTATGGAATAGAAATGATATTCACATCAGTGGGTTTCAATCTTAACTGGGGCCGGGCACGGTGGCTCACGCCTGTAATCCCAGCACTCTGGGAGGCCAAGGCAGGTGGATCACGAGGTCAGGAGTTTGAGACCAGCCTGGCCAACATAGTGAAACTCCATCTCTACTAAAAATACAAAAATATTAGCCAGGCGTGGTGGCAGGCACCTGTAATCCCAGCTACTCAGAAGGCCGAGGCAGGAGAATTACTTGAACCCGGGAGGCAGAGGCTGCAGTGAGCCGACATCGTGCCATTGCACTCCTGCCTGGGCAACAAGAGCAAAACTCCATCTAAAAAAAAAAAAAAAAAAAAAAAAAAAAAAAGATGATAACCTTCACTGGGAATTCGAATCATCTGTAGAGCTTTAATGACACCACCAATGCCCATACCTCACCAGCCCAGTGGTCTGGGCAGGGGCTGCTCTATGGAGGTTGAGAAGGGGTGTGCTGAGGCCACTCGTGTGGGCGGGGCACCCAGTGGTAGGAGTTATTCTAGCAAGACAGCATCATTAGGTGACTGTGTCATTCCTGAAGCCTGAAGCTAGTGGCCTGAACCTCTGCCAAATCTTTTACCCTATGCGGGTGACCTGTCATCCTTAGAGGATCCTGTGTCATGCGTATCACCTGATGTTTCATCTCCTTGGCAAGAAACAAGTGCAAAGAGAAAACTTCTCCTTGTTTTTGAGAAGTTTTAGATCTATAGAAAAATTGAACAGAAAGTACAGAGAGTTCCCAAATTACCTCCCTCAGCACACAGTGTCCCCTGTCCTCAGCATGTTGCACTCGTGTGGCCCATTTGTTACGGTGAAGCCAGTGTTGATACTTTATTAGTAACTAAAGTCCACATTCTACAGGTGGGACAAATGTATCATGACAGGAACCCACCCTTGCAGTATCATGGAGAGGATTCCCTTCAGTGCACTTCCTTTTTTTTTTTTTTTTTGAGATGGAGTTTTCGCTCTTGTCGCCCAAGCCAGAGTGCAATGGCGCCATCTCAGCTCACTGCAACCTCCGCCTCTGGGTTCAAGCCATTCTCCTGTCTCAGCCTCCCGAATAGCTGGAATTACAGGCGCCACCACTAAGCCCGGCTAATTTTTGTATTTTTAGTAGAGACGGGGTTTTGCCATGTTGGCCAGGCGGGTCACAAACTCCTGACCTCAGGTGATCTGCCCGCCTAGGCCTCCCAAAGTGCTGGGATTACAGGTGTGAGCCGCCGCACCCAGCCCTTCAGTGCACTTTTTAAGGCAAAGCATTTATCTCCTGTTCTCACATGGGAGGTAAACAGCTTCTCCGGCATCCACCCTTGGTCACGAAACTGGGAGACTCCAGATGGAGCAGGTGGATAAGAAGCAGGAAAACCTCCTTGGAAACTTGTCAAGAGTACCTCATGCCTCCTATCCCACTGCCTGCTCACATCAGTGACCTGAAGGCTCCTACCATTTACAATAGGAACATTTTTTCATGGCCTTTTATAAAACCTAAAACATCTGGACCCATGTTAGTGAGTTTGCTGGGTTTTTTGTTTGTTTTGGTGACAGGGTCTGGCTCTGTCATCCAGGGTGGAGTGCAATGGCACGATCATGGCTCACTGCTGCCTCAACCTCCTGGGTTCAAGCAATCCTCCTACGTCAGCCTCCTGAATAGCTGGGACTACAGGTGCATGCCACCACACCCAGCTAATTATTTTATTTTATTTTTGTAGGGATGGGGTCTTACTACGTTGCCCTGGCTAGTTTTGAACTCCTAGCCTCAAGTGATCCTCTCACCTCAGCCTCCCAAAGTGCTGGGATTACAGGCGTGAGCCACCGCGCCCAGCTGTGTCTGGTCGTTGTCACAGAAATACCTGATCCCCAGGGAAAACTCAGGGTCGTTTGATTATGGGAGAGTGCTCCAGCATTTTCAGGTAAGTAATCTTCTCACCAGAGCTCAGTCACTCACACAACACAACTAAATAAGCACTCAGCAGACCTTTTCAATGATGAATGCTTTGACAAAGAAAAAACACCCACAACATTCTCACCCCAAAATGGCTGGCCCAGTGTCCCAGGTGTGCAGGAGACACCGCACTAGCCCCTCTGTCCATTCACCTGGACCTTCATGGGGTTTGGTGTGAGGATGTTCTAGGAGGGCCATCCTGGAGTCCGAGGTCAACTTCAAAAAGGGTTTGGCTTCCCCAATGGCCCACAGGCTCCTGTGCCCGCAATACACCTTGCCCACCCACAAGCTGTGCTGTCAGCCAGTACTGCCCTCTTAAGGTCACACGTTAACATCTCATAAAGTGTAATTCCAGAAAAAAAGTAGCCCTTCATTTATTTGCCTCAGAACTGAGCACTGTAAGTTGCAGGAGATGGTTGCGTGTGTGTGTGTGACTGCTGTGCGTGTGCTTGGGGGTGTGGGGACAGGGTGATGCCAGCAGGTCTATATCCTCCTCTTTTAAAACACTCCACTCCCAAATTCATTCACTCATTTAGTTCCATCCTACCCTCTCCCAAAACGATTTGGGGAACCTCCCTCCTCCCCATTTGTGATGTTGGAACTTTGGCCTCTTCTCTGGGTGCACCCCTTCCCGTCTCATTGTTGACTTATTGAGAACCCCAGGTTTTTAGCCTCTTCTTTGAGGCTGCCCACCCCCTGCCCCCCCATGCCCGGTCTTGCATCCCACTTACGGGCATCTCGTGCACGGTGGGGGCTCTGCTCCCATAAGCCTGGTTACTGGTCGTGTACACCGAGATAGCCTTCTGGGTCCTGGTAGATGAGAAACACTCTCTTTTCGTTCATTTAATCTAATTCTGCACAAGCCACAGCCTTGCATTTGGTTGACAGCACTCCACTGGAAATGCCCCCAAAGAAAGAGCAATGTGCCTGGGCTGGTGATGCAGCCTCAAAGGCAGCCTCTGGGAGTACCCGGCTGATGACCGTTCTGAATGGCCCGGCCTCCCCTGCCCCCTCTGCTCACCACAGTCCCTGCTCTTCCAAGGCAGGCCAAAGCCCTAAAGAGCAGGCAGCCAGCAAGTGCTGACCCCCAGCCCTGGCAGGACCTTGGCACATGCTGCAATTTCTGGGTAACTTAGCCTGTCAGGAGCGAAGGCTTGGCCTCCAGACTCTGCCACCCAGAGGGTCCCTCTGCCTTTAGCCCCCACCCTCGCTGAGGTGATGCTTCTCTCGGTACCACTGCCCCTACCTGTCAGTAGGACAGGCTACTGAGAGGCTGCAGGCCCACACCTTAGCTCTACTTTATACTCCTAGATCTTGGCCAAGTTGTTCTTTCTACATTCCAGTCGTCTCAATGGGAGAACGAGGATACTAACAGACCCTGCCCTAGAGGACTGTTGAGGGACCACATGTGTGAGCACGGCAAGATGCTTGCACCTGCCTACAGGAATTTTCTTACTGCTTCTTAGCCTGCAATGCCCTGTGGCAGCTCACAGCTGGCTGAGTAGACTTGCTGCAGGTGCTGCTGTGCTCACGCCCCGCAGCGGGGTTTCAGGGTAGAGAGGCGAGGAGACTCACCCGACACAAAACAGTAGAGCTGAGACCACAACTGGGTTTTCTCCCCCCTACGGCCCTGCCTCTCACTGACCCTATTCCCACTTCCTTGTATGAGGCTCTGGGGAGCACTTTCGTTGCTCACTAGTGGGCGATGACAGCGCGGGCCCCGGATGACCCCTCGATCCTCTTGATTTCTGCAGCTAGGACCTTGGGGGTCTTGCGGGGTCTCTCACACACGGGGCTATCGAGCAGTGGACGCCAGGACCAGGCGCGCCCCAGCTTCCTCACCTGTAGCCCCGGAACCACCCTGGGTTGTTGAACCTGCCCGGCAGGTCCGCGCTTACGCGGTAGTAGTCGCTGGTCCTCTCAGGCGGGGCCGTGGCCTTGGGCTCCACAGGCTCCGCGCACGCTCTGGGGCTTTCCTCCGCCATTGCGCGTCGAAAAGCAGGACTCGGCGGCGTCCTGTTGCCAAGCGACGGCCAGGTCACGTGACTGGGGCGGAGCGGAGGGGCCTTAAAGGCGCCGCGCGTGGGCGGTGCTCCTCCGCGGGCGGGTCGGGAACCTGCCGAGCGAGTCCCCAACGACTGGGAAGGTCGGGACGGCGAGAGATTCCCTGCTGGGACCGTTGTATGGGGCAGCCCCTGGCCCCCAGCCACCCGCGAGGGGACCGGGTCACCCCAGCATGAGGGTGTGGACTCCCGGGCGAAAGGAACCCCAGGGCCTGGGACCCCGCCAGCCGGGTGATGGGGTTTAAGCACTGCAGGTCCACTCGGCAGACAACGACTGGACGCTTGCTGTCCAATGTACTCCAGGGATGATATGCCCCTCAGCACCCCGAGTCTAAATTGAGACCCGAGATCTTGCTAACTTTATGAAATTCTCCTAAGTCAAATATCGTTTAAATATTAAAAACATGGCCGGGCGCGGTGGCTCAAGCCTGTAATCCCAGCACTTTGGGAGGCCGAGACGGGCGGATCACGAGGTCAGGAGATCGAGACCATCCTGGCTAACACGGTGAAACCCCGTCTCTACTAAAAAAAATACAAAAAAACTAGCCGGGCGAGGTGGCGGGCGCCTATAGTCCCAGCTACTCGGGAGGCTGAGGCAGGAGAATGGCGTGAACCCAGGAGGCGGAGCTTGCAGTGAGCTGAGATCCGGCCACTGCACTCCAGCCTGGGCGACAGAGCGAGACTCCGTCTCAAAAAAACAAACAAACAAACAAACAAACAATAATAAATAAATAAATAAATAAATATTAAAAACAGTTTTGGAGCGCGAGAGGCTGCGCGGGACGTGGTACACAGCTCACGTGGCGGGAGGCGAGGGTCCCCATCGCCCAGCGGGCTCCCCCAAAGGTCAGGGGCCTCCCGGGCTGGTGGAGCCCATTAGCGAGGCGGGGCGAGCTGCAAGGCGAGGACGGTGGCCCCACTCCCGGCCCGAGACTCTCAAGCCCAGGACCCCGGGCCCTGACCCCTCGTCTGCCCCGCCCCCGCAGGGAGGTCCCAGCCGCCCGCGGACGGCGCTGTGGCTCCTCCGGGCCTGTAGGTGGCACTGCGGCCCCGCGCGGACGGCGGCGGGAGGGGAGGCCGCTCGGCCCGGCTCGGAGGGAGGCCTCGCTCCGCCCCGCGTCCCGGCCATGGCGACCGTCCCGGCCGCGCTGCCCCGAATGCTCGGCGCGGGTGAGCGCGCGCTTGCGGGTCCCTGGGGAGGAGGATGCAGAGGGGGCGCGGGGACCCGAGGGAGCAGCGGGGACGCGGAGGGGACTCGAGGAGGGCGCGGGGACGCAGAGGGGATCCGTTGGGGCTGCGGTGGGGGCGGGCGTGGTGCACCCGGGACGCGGCGCCAGGACGTCTGTCTGCTTCCCCCCAGGTGCCCGGGCGCCGTCGCGCTGGCTGGGGTTCCTCGGGAAGGCGACCTCCGGACCTGCTCGGTCGAGCCGCAGGACGCTTGGAAGCGCTGCGACCCCTGTGATCCGCGAGTCCGAGGACGGCACCGGTGACACTGGGCGCGCAGCCGAGTCAGGTAGGAACTAGGAGAGGCCGGCAGCCGCGGGAGATGCGAACCCTGCAGGGGCCTGGGCGCTGCACGTGGTCGAAACTGCGCGCCCGGCCGGGCTCCTCCCACTCCCGTGCTGGCCACCTGAGACCACAAGGTGGGGAGGTGCCAGAAAGACCTGAGAAACCCGCTGGGCCCCTCTCTTTTTCTCTTCTGTCTTCCAAGTAAGACCAAGGGACAGGGTTGACCAGGTTCGACCAGGCTCACCCAGGAGCAAGGTCGGGATCAGAATCTGGCTCCAGCCCTCTGTTTCCTGAAAAGGTCCCTGTGCTTCCAGGTCTTTCCTAGGGCTGGGGGGCTCCCGGCTCCCCACCGCGGTGTCACAGGAGGCACTTGGGAGCAGGGGTGGGCGGGAACTGTGCTCTGCCTGTCCCTGCTGCCACCGGTGGGAGACACAGCGTCGCTCCTCCTCCCTGCCGTAGATTTCAACGACAAGATTCTGAATGAGCCCCTCAAGCACTCTGACTTCTTCAATGTCAAGGAACTGTTTTCCGTGAGAAGCCTCTTTGATGCCCGAGTGCATCTGGGACACAAAGCTGGCTGTCGGCACAGGTGGGTGACACCCCCATCTGAGCTGTAGCGGTTCCCAGGAGGGCTTGGGACCTGGGACCTGCCCTGGTTCTAGGGCCACTTTTGAACTGGCCCGTGTCAGTTTTAGGTGATTACAGCCCTTCCTCCTCCACATGGGAACACGGAGCCCCACACAGAAGCAGCAGTTCACTCCCCAGCTTGGCGGGGGCTCTTGTGTGCCTTGGGGTGGTGCTCACAGCCCTTAGTAGGGCAGGCCTGCTGGGGGATGCAGAACTCCACAGGTTCAGAAATGGAAGGGCTGAGGGCAGAGCCTGTGAGGCTGGCCCCCCCTGGATTGGGCGGGGCTTTCTGGGCTGTGGGGAGGAGGAGTGACTGGTCCTGTATTCTCACATGGTCATTTTGACTGTTGCAGGGAGAGGGGATGGGAGGGGCAGGTGGGAGGCCAGGGAGGAAGTTGGTGTGGGTGTCCAGGGCGAGGGTGGTGGGGCTTAAATCGCAGTAGCAGAAGAGCTAGAGCAGCAGGTGGACATGAGGCAGCGGGGTAGAGCCAGTGGGCCTTGGGCTGGGGTCGGAGGTGGCTGGGGCCAAAGGGATCAAACACCTGCTCTTTGCCTGGAGTTTGGTGCCGGTTACTGATGGCAAAAACCAGGGGGGACCTGGGGGCCATCACAAGCTTGGTTCCTATGAGGTGTGAACTCTTAGCTGCCCCAGTGGAGAGGTCACACGGGTACCAGGAGGGATGGGCTCCCAGGAAGCCATCAGCATCGGGGACTTGTGTTTCCAGAGCATCGGAAAAGGAGGTCGGAGGTGGAGCCCTGGGCACTTCAGTGTTTGGAGTCAGTGAAGAGGGACAGCCGGGGGTGGAGGGATGTGGTTGTCTGTTGATGCTGCTGAGAAGTGAATTCAAGGGTGTGACCTTGGCAAGATGGAGGTCGCCAGTGTCTTGATGGGCAGGGTTGCTTGAGAGGAAGGGACAGTCCCCAGTGGGAGTAGACTGGAGGTGAGGACCTGGGAACCACAAACGTGGATGACTCGCCTGCCATGCACCGAGAGGCAGGGGTGCCTCCCATGCCCCGCTCTTCCTCAGCCCAGGCCGGCAGCAGTCCAGTGCCCTGGATCAGGGTTCTCCTCCCAGGCTTGGCCACTCCTGCCCTGATTCCTTAATGCTTTTGGCCCAGAGCACCCCCTAAGTCCAACCCCAGCGGGACCTTGTCCTCAAAGCCTCGGGAAGAGGAGAGTGACGGAGGGGGCTGCCCCGTGAGCCACACGGGGCTGAATGTCCTTTTGGTGTCATGTTGGATGTCCACACATCCATATGGGGTCAGTTCTATTAGGATTCCCTCGGGAAGAGGTAGAGGGTCAGAGGGATTAAGCCATGAGATGAGGCGTGCAGGGGGGTGGCCTGGACAGGTCTGCACTGCCGTCTGTCCACAGGGGGAGCGTTGCAAACTGTGCTTCCCAGCCCATAGTACCCTTGAAGAGGAGTTCGGGAGTCCCTGGTGGGCGTCTGTGTCCTGCAAGGGGCCAGTGGAGTTGGCCCGGTGAACTCTCATCCCCCTTGCCCTGGTGGGTTCTCTGGCAGGTTTATGGAGCCATACATCTTTGGGAACCGCCTGGACCAGGACATCATCGACCTGGAACAGACAGCCGCGCACCTCCAGCTGGCCTTGAACTTCACCGCCCATGTGGCCTACCGCAAGGGCATCATCTTGTTTATAAGCCGCAACCGGCAGTTCTCGTACCTGATTGAGAACACGGCCCGCCACTGTGGCGAGTACGCCCACACTCGCTACTTCAAGGGCGGCCTGCTGACCAACGCGCCCCTCCTCTTTGGCCCCGCAGTCCGCCTGCCGGACCTCATCATCTTCCTGCACACGCTCAACACCATCTTTGAGCCGCACGTGGCCGTGAGAGACGCAGCCAAGATGAACATCCCCACGGTGGGTATCGTGGACACCAACTGCAACCCCTGCCTCATCACCTACCCCATACCCGGCAACGACGACTCCCCGCCGGCCGTGCACCTCTACTGCAGGCTCTTCCAGACGACCATCACCCGGGCCAAGGAGAAGCGGCGGCAGGTTGAGGCTCTGTATCGCCTGCAGGCCCAGAAGGAGCCCGGGGCCCAGGGGCCAGCCCACCCTCCTGGGGCCGACGTGAGCCGTTCCCTGTGATGTTCACTCAACTCCTCCCAAAGCAAACCACAGCCAAGCCTGTCTGAGCTGGGAGTCCCCTTCCCCAGCCCTGGGTCAGCGGCATCCTCAGTCCTTGTTACTTACTTAGCTGACGTCACAGTGCAGACATCCGCTGTTCCGCCTCAGAACCAGTGGCTGAGCAGACCGACGTTGCCTCTGCATTTGCTCTGTGGGAAACAGAGCACAGAGGGTGAGCGATGTGCGCAGGACGGCCCCTTGGCTGCAGTTAGGACCTCAATGGCTGGTGTGGCCGAGCTGCTGGAAGACGCTGCTGTCCCTGTGATCCGAGCAGCCCTCCCTTCACCCTGACCCCTGACCTTTGTCAGGAAGGTGCAGTTTTTCTTCTCAATCTAAATGCCTTTCAGGTGGGCTGCTTCCTTGACCGCCTGGTTCCAGGGGGCTGTTTTGTAATGAGATGCTGCAGGCAAGCTGCTCGGAGGCTCCCAGCTGGGTTGGTGGGACAGCCAGGCCAGAGGACCTGATTCCAGCAAAAATAAAACTCAGATTTGGGCAAAATGAGACTTGGAGTTTGGGGTTCTGCCTCGAGTGCGTTTGCTTTCGTCCACGTGGTGTGGCTTTTTTTTTTCTCAGGCACGCACTGGGGCCCCAGTGTTGGGAGATGGGACAGGCACTGTGTGTGTGAGGGGCATGAATGAGGTCAGCAGAGGTGCCAGCTCCATCTGCCACTAGAGGGCACCGTCTTCAGCAGTGGAGCTCCTGACAAGCCCACAGCCCTGCCAGCCTCATTCATCAGAACAGGCTTGGTGTGTTCCCAGTTTCA